TTATATATAATTTATATATAAATCTTGTATAATCTGTATCACATAGCTCTCCAGATGACTGGTGAATCATCTATTAATTGAGTTTCTTTACAAAATATAAAGAAATTACATTTGAACCTTATATTTAGAGGATACTTAAAACTAGAGACTCAAATATAATATTATAATAATATAATTATCTGTGATCTAAACTTACCAAAATGACTAAGACTTACCTAGATTTGAGGTTTTAGAAGTAAGTTTTGTAAATTAAGTTAATAGTTAATTTTTTGTGAATACTATAAAAATAACTAGCTCTTGAATAAAGTAAGAGTTAAAGATAAGTAGGAATATTTACTTGAGATCTAGAAATGCAATATAAACTTCTGATAAAGTTATAAATTTGTTTATTGAAACGCAATAGAAGTTTAATCATATGAGCGCCTTTTTGGAATTGGAGATAATTTTTAATTATGATTAGCTAATTTGATTGGTTGATTAACAACTATGAACCCCAAATTTTAATTTCAATACCCTAAAATTTTTAAAATATAATAAACAAATAATTTTGTAATATATAATTTTATATGTCAAACCAATTGTCCAAGGGTCAAACCAATTATCCAAGGATTAAATCAATTGTCGCAGATAAGTATTACCAGTAAAGCTATAAGCTTAATTGCTAAAAAACATTTTTTTAAGCTTAAATAATAACTAATATTAATTTTTTTTTAAAGTATAACTACAAAAGATAGCAACGCGACTTATATTAATGGTTCTACTAGTCTTACATCACCTTTAACACCAACCTTTATAAAACAATATTTTGAATATCCTATTTGTCATATTTCTTACAAAACAAAAGCTGGATTAACACTTCATCAAAACACAGTTCAAAAATATAATATACGACGAGCTAAACTATATATATTGCTATTAGAAGCAATAGAGAAATTTAAAAAATATCTTGTACATGTTATTCAAAAATATCTTAAAGAGCATTTTAGCCATTCTGGCAAACAAATTATTACCTTTCCTTGCTTAGAAAATCTTTTTTTTGGTTTTTGAAGAGTATATTTATTACTATAATTACAAAAATAGAAATTATAAATATTTGTTTCAGGGTCAAAATGTGTATAATCAGTTAAGCAATTTATTTAATAATCCAAATTGGAGATGTAGATTTTTTGATAATGAACAACAGACTTTTGTTTTACTATTTGATAGACAAGCTGAAATAGAAGCTAATTAGGAGAGTGAATTTGATCAATATGGCAAGTGAATTCCAAAAAATCGATAAAAAAAATTTAACTTACTAAAGTTAATATTTGAATAGAAAAGACAAACAAAAAAAGATATAAAAGGTCATCAAACATTTGCAGGATATATATATATAAGTTTTTATGTACAGCAAATTTAATAAAAAAACTGTTCTACAAACTTAATAAATATTATTGTATATTCTATTGTGTTGCTTTGAATTAAATTATTTTAAAAAATTTATTATATGTATATTTAATTTTATTTAATTTAGTAAATCTATACATACTTATTTATCTATATTTTAAAAATAAATTATTCAAATTTGTATTTATTATTTAGTTTAATTGTGTCCACATTAATTTAAATATATTTATTAATCTAAATATTTACAATTTGTA